TATTTTTAAATACTAACCTTAGGCACTCTGCCAAGTGTACAGGACCCTCCAAAATTTATTGCAAACAAAATTGGTAGTCAAAGACCAAAAATTTCGATGGCATCTTTATTATACATCTATAAAACTTAATTGTGTTTGTCGAACAATTAAGACTTTTTGTAAGATGCTTTTTTATGGTTGTGTATGCAATAGAATCTTGGAGATGCTGCATATCGAATATGGATTGATAGTATGTAGCTGCTAGCGAATATTTTCACATAGAATAGATAGTGTGCAACTAAGATTTGTGCAGAACAAAAATCAAGCATCCTTACTATATTAAGCGTTAACTCTTAGTTTTGATCTAAGCAAACGTTTCCAAAATACTGATTAGCTGTGCTCAAAAAGCCCTCACCATTAATTGATGCAGCTTATTGCTTTTAAAGTATCTGTCTACTTCCTATTGTCTTAATGAATTGCTCACGTTTTGACAGAAATAATTACAGTCAAGAACCATCCATTTTCTACTAGAGGGTACAGCAGGTTAATTCCTGAAAATAAAAGAGTAGAACAACTAAAACAATGTGGGCGTAATTCGATCACTTTTCGAGAATTTCTTAAGAGACGAAGTGCGGAAAACTTGCCGTCGTCTATCAGTCTCATCTCCACATACGAAGGAAACTCTGTGAAGAAACCATGAGCTACCGGTACGCATGAGCGAGGAGTCGTCGTGCTTCAAAACAAACTAGTGTTCAAAGCGTGACTACTTGCTGTTGAGCACGGGCCGCGTTTGACACGCGTCGAAAACAACAGTCACAACACGGTAGTTAGTTTGCTAGTTGAAATTTGAAGTAAGTATAACTGGATATTCTCTTATCTAATACACAAATCATTGTAAAAACCTCGTAAGTCACATAATTTGATTTTATAGGGGACAATAAACACTGTCACTATAAAAAAACAGTTTTAAAGTACTTTTTGGGCTTAATGTAGTATTTGAGTTCTACAAGAAATTTCACAAAACCAGTTTATTAATAATAATGGAAAAAGCCCCTAAAACTGCTGGATGGATTTACGTAGCAAGAAATAGGATTAGTGATACTAAAATGGGAAAAGCGATTACTTCAGAGGAACGAACATTTCTTAAAAATGTTCACGGGGTCAGCTGCAGAATCACACAAAAATGATGTGTCGCGCGTTGAATACGTTCGTCTATCAATCACGAGTAGTGGTAATCGCAGCGTCGACAAGTCCTGACGACTATTTTGCATGTCACGGCTGCCACCAAAATTGTCAGGCTGCAAAAGCGCGGCATATCGGACGCATTTCGATCCATCTAGAATATAGTGCGTTTTCTTGCAGCGCGACAACTTGCGGCGTTTACGGGCAGTTAATGATATAAAAAATCTAGGAACATATTACTATGCCTAAAACGGATCATAACAACGTAGAGCTACTGTTCGAACAAGAAATAGGTAGAAAGAGATTTTGTATATTTGCAAATAATGCAATTTAGACGACAGTAATTTTGTTTGGAGCTATCGTTAGATTATTGCGGTTTAATGACAGGCTGAAATTGGCGTTTTGATAGGGCTGAATCATTTGCCGCCTTTTGATAAACGCGTTTGATCGAAAAATTTTTAAACGACCGATAAGTAATCTCTACCTGTATCTTTTTTTAATTTTAGAACCGAAACTTGACAACTCACAAGTCCAGTGACATGTAGCAAAATAACGTTCAGCGACTACATCACTTTTGAAAAGCACTCAAAGTGATCGCTACAGAAGCGCTACCTTGTGATGAACATGACAATACTTATTTGAAACGTTATAACAGGCGAGAAAAGCTGTCAGAAAAAGTAATATAACACTGTTTATTGGTTATTCTACTCCGTTGTTTTCAAAAATTGACCCCCACCTGTAAATGTATGTAGTCAGACAAATGACGATGTTTTTCTGTAGCTGGATGATTAAAATTCACTATACCAATTCACATTCCCTTATCAACTATGACGCACTCACGATGAATGCAATCATCAAATCATATCGCTACACTAAGAGCTTGCTCTTTCATGTTCAACATGACGCACGTTATCAAATTACAAACGTCTGCCCTTTTGAGTGAACAACATATTAACGCTAAAAGGGCTGTGCAAAAGTTGATAGACTCAACTAAATTTGAACACGAAAGGGAAACTCACAGATATTGACATTAGTAGACATCACACCGTTGAGACAGCGCCGTCTAGTGACAAACATTATTCGGGACTCGGGAACAGCCAATTCTTGATAACTGGATGTTTTGATAACAATTTTCTGCTTGATTTCAGTGAAATTAAATAAAACCAAATGAGAGTACGTAAAAAGGTTGTGGTGCATATTAAGCTAAGTGATTTGCATACTTGAATCAAACGGTGTGATAATACGTAACGGGACTTGAATCCATTAAGCACGATTTACACTTCCAAACTATGCAGAACGAGAATGCATTATTATTAGCACAGCTAATAAGACAGAAACATTGATGCGCTTCGGGCGACTGGAGAAAGCTACTTAATAACAGTTCTGATAAGGCAAACGTTTGTGACACAAACTTGGTACAAAACATTCACCTCAGCCTATGAAATTATGAATGTTCATTTAAGTTCCAGATAAATGATGAACATGTCGTTACGAATGTGCGACTGTATTTATAACCGAAGTGGCAAGTGGAAACATGTTGCTGCTTTGATACATTATATCAACATAGAAGAGAGCTTGCCAAAAACTAACAGCGAACAACAACGGGGATAAATTGAAAAGCAAAAATGCATAAAGCGATAAATCCATTTTTTGTAGTTCTGAGAAAAACTGCCAAAACCTATAGATAATAATCCCAGTCAAATTTATAACTTTTTGAAATTCCATAAATTTATGAACATTTAGCGGTTTTTGCTCATATCTGCCTTTAAAAACGGATGGAGCATATTCCATGCCTAACTCAAAAATCGTAAAAACTGGATTTATCGGTTTTTGCATTTTTGCTCTTTAATTATAGTAAAAATAAAGTGTATTCAACGATATCACGTTAGATTATCTTGCTTACTTTTTCCTCTTTACAGCAGCTTTCAATTTATTTTTTGCTCTAATTTATATAGGAAACAAATATTTCCAATTATTTTTGTTTCATTGTTTTTACAGTTCCTACTTGAAAATATTTTAACAATTTAGTGCGAAATTTGATATACATATGTCGATGCCGAGTTTTGTCACATCTCAGCAAAATCGCGCGCTGCGATCGATTTAACGGTCCCCATCACCCACTTCGCACATGGTGAATAAATGTTGTAATGTCGATGTCAGTGCCTTCTCAAGTAGCGATATTCTCATGAAACTGTTGGATATGTGGCGCTAGTCAGACCAACTATCAGATAATTCTGTTGTCCTGGGTATTTACAACGCTCTGTGTCAAGAGATGGCGCAGCACCAACTCATTTATCCCACGTTGAAGACTAGCTATAGGAGGTTAAACCATTGGAGTCGGGGAGAATAAAAAAATGTCGACGATGGAAGGAGTTGGAAAAATACGCAGCAAATGAATTTCAGATGTTGCTCATAGGGCATCTCTCTCGTGTGTACATCGCGCAGAGAATGGTTTCAGGTTCTGCGCATGTGGCATCTTTCTTTGTTGCTGTCATCATGACTGTAAACAACTCTAATTTTGACAGTTCGGACGAGTTACAAGCAGAAATATTGGATAATATTGATAAACCACGAAGTAATAAACCTATAAACCATGTCAAAACGTGCGAGTAATACACATACAGAGTGCGGCACGTTATGTTAACATTTTTCAACGCAGAGACGCTCTGCGCCATGTTCTACGTCCACTAATTTCCGAGAGCCACACCATCCTTTCCGACAGAATTGGGTCCATAGAAATACATGTCTATATATATATATATATATTATAGACTCGTAGACGACACCATGAAAAGATTAGAAGCATTTGAAATGTGGGCATTCTCGTTATATGAATTCTGGAAACTTTCAACCCCCAGATGGTAGAAAGGATGCCTACCACGCAGCTGGTCCCGGTTCAAGTCCGACTGCAGACAGCGTTTATTTTTTTTTTGATGTAATTAAGTGATTCCAAATACTTTTTAGAAAAATGGTGTCAGTACTTCCCACGTATTTTATACACCAAGTTTTCTTTTCACAATATTTACAAACTAAATATCCTCATACGCAAATATCCGTTGAGTTTTAGGTATCATTTTATTGAAAATATAGCCAAATTTCCAAGAATTTCATCTTTCTTAACAATTTTGATGATTAAACGTATTAAAATATATATGTACCGTGAGATATTGATTCAACTATTTTTTCAAAATTTGAACCCAAAAGGGTTTTCAGTTAGGACTGACGAGAAATATGAAAGTAGTGAGTCAATCTACCATTGTTTCAAGAAGTATGTTTGGGGCCTGCTGCGTGATAGGCAGTCACCTTACCCAAAATGTAGTACATAACGGGAATGTCTGTCAAAATTTCCATCATCTGCAATTTCTCTGAAATACCCCCGCTTTCAAACAGGCGCATATGCATATGTTCTCAATTGTATATTATACTAATCACAGCAAAACAAAAAAATAGATATTTTCGCTTCAATTTTTAGTTGCGAAAAATAGGGTTAATGATTATCATCTTTTTCGTCAGGTTATTTAATCGCTAAAGGAATTAAGCTTGACCATTTTCTTAAGCCTTAAAATTCTCACAGAATTTTTGAACACCGAAATCAGGCAAACAATGTTCAAGTTATTGCAATAAAACCGCTAAAAATTAGACTGATTTAGCTTCATCAGTTCTATTCGCACGACACCGAAGAATGTGTGTCTAGACACCTTATAAAAGCACGTTAAATTTCAAATCAAAAGGTACTTAAAAAAATATATGTAGTATCTTTGGACGCGCTCACTGGCTGCATTAGACAGTGCTGATAGAAATATAGATTTACATATATAAATGTCATTAAACAAAGAAATGCAGATCGGAACTATTATAAATAGTTATTGATGTATTTTACAAGTTTTAGTTTCTTCAGGAGAAAAGTAAAGGGATGTTGAAACTTTGTATGCATTTTATTGCCAACTGTTGTAAGCTTTGGTTATAAAAAGAATAGAATAATCATAACTCGTTCAAATTAATGAACATTTTTCAGATGGTGCATAAGTATATAATACATATTTTATTAACCGTAATCTCATACTGTATTAATCTTTTTATCAAAACATATCCTGAATTCCTTGACGATATTTTTAAGATCCAGAATTATCACCCTGCCCCTCGCCTCCCCTCTTGGACCTGGAGAGTTCATCTTTTTTCAGCAAGACTGCAAGACTGCTCCATTTAATAATAATTGTAGAACAAAGTTGACCAACCACAGTAAAATCACAGTACAATAATTCTGTTTCACTATCATGCTACTAAAATACTTTCTCTACAAAATAAGCAGCAGCCGACAATCGTAGGACTTCCCTGAGCTGTAGAATAGATCTTTATAAAAAAACATTTTTTATAGCTGCAATAAAAACAATTATCCAAGATATTCTGGTTCGGAATTTATTGTGCTTTTATAACGTGTCAGGCCACATATTCGTCACACGGTTAGAGGTCAGTCAGTTGGGCGAATAAAAGTGATCAAGGCAAATAGTAAATTGTCTGATTTTTAGCGTGTTTATTGCAATGACTTGAAAATTATTTATCTGACTTTGGGGTTCGAAAATTCCGTTTGTGAAAATTTTAGGGCTAAAGAAAGGGGCCGAGGTTCATTCCCTTAGAGATAAAATAACTTGAAATAAATAAAAAAAAATTAAACCTATTTTTAGCAAATAAAAAATTTAAGCAGAACATTTTTCTCTGGCACGACCCATACTCGCGGCCAGTAACCCTTTTAACATCTTTTACCAAATAATTTGTCCACTTACAATTTTCCCAGGAACTTCATTCGATTTTTGCTAGATTGCCTGGATTATAGCGCCAGTGGCTGCACCTGCTATTCTATTGCTATGCTAATATAGTGCAAGCAGCGTGATGCAAATGGGCTGGTGCTGTGGCATGTCTTCAGGAAGATCAGTGCACACCCACAGCACAGGACACAATTTTCCGATGTTGTTGCTAGCACAACACGACCAATGATGCCAATCTCATTTCTATCAAGCCAATCAATCAAAAACAACACACAGGCATGCTCAAACTCAAACCAGAAATTGTAGCAAAAGCATTCTAAATACATATAGAGTATGTGCTGCATCAGTAACTAAATAAGCCTACTTTCTAGTATCGTGAATATGAAAATCAGCTTCAAAAACCCAACTTATTTTAAACAGTCAGAATTAGGCCATATATGAATCACAACACTTTGAAATTACAACCAAGTTTTGATTTTATATGTTTCACCTAGCTTTTATAAATGTATGTATGTTTAAGATTATCATTTAATTTTTAATATTTGTAGGCTTGTACTTTGCTCTAAATATAGTAAGTCTCTAATGTTATGACAGTGCGAGCTATGTCTATACTTGTAGGTACCGTTCGTATCACTACAGTTTTGTATCTAGTACTTTCACCAACTAGTTCAGTAGAATTTTTATAAAAACGTGTGATTTGAAGAAGAATCCCACCAGACAGACAAAATTGAGGGATAAACAACATAAGAACCACAAGATAAGTTTCAGATGTTACATTAAGAATCCCAACAGTCTATACAGAGATAGAGCAGAATTACATTTGACTATGAAGTTCGAAACGTATGTATGGTTATGACTATGGTATCTAGATTTCATATGAGTTATAAGTGTTAGGCTACGGTTAGTATGGCTATACGATTATAAAGGTATTTTTAAAAAGTATCTATGAAATACGAAATGTTTGAAAGTAAACGGCCATTATCTAGAACAGGGCTGTCCAACTTAATGTGGCCCAAGGGCCATTTCAAAAAAAAATGCAGTTTGGAGGGCCGCATTATAAAATCTTTCTATACATTATTACAGAGTTAATGTAAGAATTGTGCATATTCGGTATTTGAGAGTAATTTATACATGACCCGTGAATCGCGCCGCAAGAAAGGAGTTAGCGGGCCGTATGTTGGACAGCCCTGATCTAGAACAATGAAATAATTTTCTAAAATTAATCAATCAGTTCTAGTTTGTCACTTTAACAAGCGGCAACTTAAGTAGAAAATGTCATACTCGTCGATTTGCGCATTAGATTATAATCGATGGGCATTATATCCCCAATCAAAACGCTAAGCGCCGAAAGATGGTTCGAAAAATGAAATATTCCTTATCCAAGGTTGTGATGTAGTACTACTTTGTACAGAGCTATCCTTTTGGCTTTGGTGGTAATTATGCATGAAAATCAAGTGATAAATGATCATGATGATGATAAACGCAAAAGTTGTGGGGATTTTCTTCAATTCACTACAAGATCCACTGAACTGTAATATCAAATAAAAAGCTGTTTACAAATAATATATTTATTTTGCAATTTCTACTATCTCAACAAACTAATGATGGCAGTGTATAGTTTTAGATTATACTTACAATTAAAAACAGTTGACATGTATATTTTTGAGACTAAACTCTTAAACACTACATCTATTAGCAGTTCATATATTAATTTGATCAAGGTAACTGTAAAGAAAATTGCACTGCAATTAATTTTAACGGTAAGTATATCCCATTTCTTAGCATTTGATTCTAATTAACATAAATATGTGAATATTTCATCATAATTTTTATGTATAGATGCTGCTATCATGTAACTGTTCTCTCTGCTAATTCATTATTCTGAATCTAATTGACACATGCACCATTTCTACTGTTTTCTAGTTACTTCAACTGAAAAATATACAATGTATCTGTATTGACAATAAATATTCCATTAGTTTTTTAGTATATTACGTAATATTTAACTTTAACATTGCTAATCTCACTCATATTTTGGTAGATTTTATGTTAACTAATATTTTAAAGTTCTCACTATCATTAGGTACTTTTTTCTATGTCTAAAAAGTACATATTAGGTATGTACCTAAACTTTTTTCAACTGGCATATACTGATGGTTATAATTTAGATATCACAAATTTTAGTGATGCTGACTGAGGCGCGTCATTGTACCTTCTTTTGACTTTTGTGACAAAACTGTCGATTTTGGAACATACACTGCTGTCCAGTCCAAATATGTGCTGATTTATAGCTTATAAAACATGATGCAGGGAATGATATTGTATAAGTCAGAAGCCTTTTTTATCGTAGCATGTAGCCGGCACCGCCGGGGTTGCAGTAAATGTTAATGTTTCAAATGTCACCAAACATTTTTAATATAAGAAACAGTATTTTCATGTACCAAACTATAATTTTTGAATAGGACAGTTACTATGAAATTACTTGGCTTTATTTTTACCTATAAAGATGTAACAAGTGATTGATTAATTATTACTGGCTACCACTTTTTTATGTAAAATTCCAGGAAACCTAGTAATTTTGTATATCCAAGCATTTCCTACCTCACATTTTACTAAAGCATTTGATATTGCTATCGATCTCATAACAAATTTATGTGCGAGATGATTGCAAAGCCATACACTGTTCAATTTGAGGTGATTTGAACTTTTGTAATCATTTGAGTAAGATTACACACCACGTCAGTCGAGTTGAGCAATTTGTAACATAAACAGGTCTTTGAACCAATTTGCTATAGAGTTACAGGGATGCAAGAACATTCAAGCATTCCACTACCTTGTCGTCATTGCTGTACCTTGTGTGCTTGATGGAGGTTTACAGAGCCATATAACTGCATCTGACTCATTACACCTACACCTTTCTGGAGACCAAAAATCGCCTCAATGATCAACCTCTACATATTAAGAATCTGCTTGATAAAATCAGTCTTTTTGGGTGTCATAATTAAAAAAAAAATAGTAGTCAACTGATAACTAAGCCACATTAAACTGATTCATATGTGTATGTGTGATCAACAGAAAATCGCTCTATGAGATCTTATCAGGGCCAATAATCAGCTGGGCAAAGAAACATGAAGTCAAAGGTCTGTGTCATCTATGTATAGTGTCAGTGTTTTCAAAATTTCTGTTTTTATCAAGCATAACTCATAAGTGTACAGGTTGGTTTTAGTTAGTTCTAAGGACCAAACAGTGCTACTACACACATGATACCTATTCCTACAAATTGATCATAGCAAGACCATACAATAATCCAAACTCACTACTACAATCAATCCAGTTTTTATACACTAATTTAAATTTGTCACAGAGAGATAGATTCTCTTACCATACACACTGGCATCAATAAATATATTTAACAGTTGTCACATTTTCTCCAGTCAAATTATCCATCATCTTATTATTTACCAATAAATATATATTATGTCTCTTATAATTACATTAAATTTATGTTACAAAATATTGTACAGTCTTAAACAAATAGAAAAAAATATACAAATAGAGAGGTACATCCCACCTTATTACAGCTTGAGCGTCTCAAACTTCTTGCAAACGTCTCCTCCTACGTCGCCTGGCAGAGGGGCATCTCCAGCGCCTATCTCAGTAACTCCGGCGGCCCCACTGCGCCTTAGCGACCTGCGGGTGCGTCTGGGCTGCGTGGCGTAGCTTGGGGGGCTGGCCACATGTACCTCAGTATATGGACCTGGTCCAGTCAGCTCAAAAGCAGCCTCAGTGTATACTGGGGAGCCGTCCATTGTACTGGAAAGGAAAATATTAATTTGAGGATTCAAGAATGCTACTTATAAAGCAAGAAGCAAAAAAATAAGAGTCTTGTGAACAGGACTCTAACATTATCATGAAGGGATTTTTCTCATCAGCATGGTGGTGGGCCGAACATCCTATTTGATGCAGATTTACCTAAATAAAAATCAACAATGTTAAAATGCTTTCCCTTGAATCATAGAAGCCTAATAGTGGAAGCACACTCACATCTTCCCTGAGACACCACAAGTCATGGTGAGTATGCTACACTTTCTTTTTGACTCATCTCGTCTGCTAGGCAAAGTTGCGCATTTAGCAACTAAAAAAATGGCGCTTATAACCGAATTTTCCCAAAAGTCTCCAATAAATAATATGTTTGATAACACATGACAGAACTCAAACTGTAACCTACTGCACTGGACAGGGTGTTACAATATTATTATTATTTTGTTTATTGTCCAACTGCTCAATAAATCATTTAAACAACTTCGTGTACTGTGTTTTCTTCTATATTAATCACATCAAAAAAGAAAGGCTAAGTTCCTTATATAGATCCTCTTCTATCACACAGGATGTGTAGCTCAGTTCTCTTTGTAGCAATTTCATATTTGCATAAAATTTGACTTTTAAAAGCCTAGCAACCATCATTCCAGCTAGATTTTTTGTAAACAACCCTATATCATCATGTCCACAATGAAAAGGTGCTTATATTGATATCAAATTTATTAATTAAACAAATGGGTGAAAATAACTAGCCTCATCCTACCTGTTTATACCTGTCAACCCAGTAGTTATGCCAGGAAAAAATGGACCAACCAACATTTGCATATCCTATCACCTTCATAGTTTTGGTTGGTATGAAATTTATTTGTTAAACTCATAATCCAGTTTTCAATTTTTAAATAATCAGAGTCTCGCCAGGAATTTTATAGCTTGCAATATAATTATTTTTTAACATTCTAAGTTTGATATAAAAAACCTTCTAATTCAGATTTTTTGACTACAGTGAATACTGAATTTTTGCACGAAATGATAATATACTGAATTTTTGCATGAAATGATAATAGATACTACAAAAAAATCTCAAGCATTTCAGTTATACAAGTGATCTATTCTTTAAATGTTGCTTCTGAAAATGAATCTGCCAATTTTTAACTCTCTATAGACAAATGTGGCTATATAGGTAATTTGAAAACATGCAGTACATTACCAGTTTCAAACTTTAATATGGCAATGGAAAGCAAGGAGAAATATAAAAAGAGTCACTAGGTCAGCTCTACACTTCCTGTGCAATGTCATCATCAGTTCACACCAGATTATGTTCAGCACAAGTTACACCCTTTCAAAATGTGTAGAATTGCTGGGTTTTAAAGTCTATTAACATACTAATAACACAAACAAATTTAAAAAAATACCAATATTTTCAAAAATTTTCACAATTACAATACTTCCTCACCAGTATGCATGCAAAGTAAAAATGGAAGTAAAATGTTTTAAATTTGCTTACCTATATACTGGAAGGTTATAGAACATTGGATCAGCTGGTGTATATGCAGGCATCTGCTGACCATAGCATGTGGGTCTAGGGGGACTTGTAGATGGTGGCATTGGAGCACATTGAGGTCCACCTAAGCCTCCCTGCCCATTCATCATGTATTGAGAAGTAGGAGGCACTCCATTGCTTTGGTAATAGTTATAATCATATGACATAGTCATAGGAAACTGCTGAGGCATATATATTGTTTGTGTAGGAAACATAACAGACGGATAAGTAGCTGCTTGTGGAGGACCAGCTTGTGCTGGGTATACAGGAGGTGGTTGATACATAGGCTGTTGTGTAGCTGGATCCCCTGGGGCTGGTTGGGGGTAATAAGCAACACCTCCTTGGAAATATGGCATTGTAGCACCAGGAGGGAAGAAGAATTGAGCAGGGTTACCTGCTGTAACTGCAGGTGGGCTTGAGGCATCAAATCCTCGACTAAATGGCTGTTTCTTTATAGCAGGAGCTATGTTAAGTTTCCGTTCTCTTAACACAATGTTTTCAGCTTCTTGTAATGGTCTTTTAGCATCATCTTCACTTTCAAACGTAATGAATCCATAGCCCTTTGATACACCAGCTCTATCTTGAATTATCTTTGCTGCTTTAACAGTTCCATAGTTACTGAAAAGTTGCATCAATTCTGTTTCAGTAGTATTAGCTGAAATGCCTCCTACAAATATTCTGTTGGGCACCAAAGTTCCATACTTTGGTGCATTGTTGTTGGGTGGTGGAGAGCCTTGCACATTCCCATTTGCAATGTTAGAAAGTGGTGTACATGAAGGAGTATTCATGCAGGAGTTGTTTGAACTCTTTCCGTTGTTCTGATTTGACATGGACATTTTTTCAGGCATTCATTAATCTCCAAGCTACCTTATTTTAGGGAAATGGTAAAAATATCTTGCCTTTTTTCTTTAAAACGGGAGTCTTAAGTCTAATCTTTCTTATTAAAACACTCTCCTAAAAGCATTTTAAACTATTAAAATTGAGACAAACAGAAAACTAAAAACAGTTGAAACTGTCAAAATGTTACTACCATCATTCTTTGTATACAGTATGTTATTTTGAAAAATAAAATTAATAGTGATTCTTATTCAATTATAGAACAATAATTACCCTCTTATAATAATTGTTGAATATGCATATTCATATAAACGGTAAATTATTTATTTAAACTTGGAAAATTAGTGTTTTTATAGGTTGGCCATCATGGCAATTCATTTGTCATTTTGGGGGTGCTAGCCTCCTTGATTTTGGGCAACAAATAAATAAAAATCAAAAATAAAGAATGGTAGAGTGTGACTGTGAAACTAGCTAAGCAGTGTTTCAAAAAATATTCTAAATAAATAGTCACTTACCAATATATTTACATTTAATACATTCGAATTTTGTTTTGAAACCATTTGTTCTATATAACAGCCATCAATAAGATCACAAATAGGTTAAACAAGGAAACTTTTCCAAGCTGTTATAAAACACTAGTAATTAACTTATCCCCCATAGATTTCATTTTCTTTCACACTGTGTAATTTCTGCAGTATTTTATATCTTATTCAGCCAGAACTAAAAATAAAAAAACTTGTGGTGAAGATGCACGCACAAAACACAAACATATCGGCATCGCATCGCATTCGCATATCGGTCGCTTGACATTTGATAACACAAAACATAGAAATATACAGGTGATAAGAAAGAAGTTTGATCATGGAGTACAGGGAAAGGAAGGCCACATGAAGACTAGAGATAGTAGGTTAAGCGCATAGAGTGGGGGTGTAGCCAAAAGTGTCGACAATGAAGGCGGAGCTATCTTTTGAGTACACTACACAGGAAATTAATTTCAGTTTTTACTCATATCGCATCTCTCTCATATCTAAATCACTATCTTTTATTGTCATCGTGAACGGAAATACCTGTAAGTTTGACAGTTAAGACGATATGCAAGAAAAAATCTTCGATATTGGATATTAATAAATTAACAAAGCATACGAAAACGTAAAGTTAAATGAAAAACGTGGAAATAGGAATTTTGTGATGTACGTGATAGTTTGTGGTGATAATAATACATGCTTGCAGAAGTAAATATATCACAAACTTGTTAAAGACAAAGATTCCGGTAGGCTACGTTGACATTTTTGACATTTTCTCATGTATCTGTATGAAGGCGAACTAGATTTATGAGAGCCATGCCCTCCTTAGCGACAGTATTAGCTTCATAGGAAAACACATCCTTAACCACACCAGTTTAAAGTTAGTTTATAACTACCTATCTCTAGTTCTAGAAGGGCACACGTACAATAATATGTACAATAAAAGGAGTCAGAAATATCATTAGTTATAACCATTTTACAAAAACAATTGGGGCAATCTGTTTCTTCAAACACTTTTTCAAACCCACACCAACGATTCGCATAATATCCTCTCATAGGTATAGTTCCAAAACTGCAAAAAAATTGATCGGTAGGGAACGTGCGCCCAACAACGTTTTTTGGATCGCTGACCCAAATCTAGGGCCCATTTTGTCCGAAAATGCCAAGACCACTCGTAATAAAAAATACCCCGACAACTCTCCCGGCGTCTATGCGGTGGAACGTTAATGACTCTGTGATGACTCTGAACACTTTTATAAATTCCCAGTTTTCGGTTTGTTCATACAGTGGTCGGCAGGGTTACCAACCGTACAGTTTTAACTGTAGATTTGCAGCTTTTCAAAAATCTTTCATGTTTTCAGTTCGGACCTTCAATTCTACAGTTTTTCGTTCATGATGCTCGCGCTATCTGTTTTGTTTACTACGAAGTCGGAAGTCCATACGATAACTCGGTCTAAAAGTGCATTTACACAGGCAATAAAAATTGCTCAATTGGGAGCTATAGTGGTCCATTGTGCGTGAACAAAATATCAAGCAATTTATGTAAACGGCAATAAGCATCAATTTGCCAAAAATGTTTTGCAACAACAATATTGAACGATATCTAGCAACTTCAAGGAATTAGCCAATACATCCATACACGACCAATTTAGTTGAAAACCCATCGCACGCTATAGACAAAGTTTTTCATGCAGCAGCGGCTTGCAGCGCTTTTATTATATTGAGCCAAAAGCGACAAACAGGATTCCATGGTAATCTGCTTATTTGTATTTAAAAAATCTAACTTTTGAAAGCGAACCAATTGCTATATTGAAAATGAGATATTTCGAACTGCAGGTCTATAGAAGTCCATTCATCTTTTTTAATCAAGCGATCTTTAAAATTGGACGCTTGTGACGCAAGTGAATTGCATCAATAAAGTTAACAATTTTTTCATTTTTTACTCACATACAACACAATTCCCAGACAGAGCGTTCGCGCCTCTGTATTCTGCCCACGCTCACGCTCTCCCCCCGGAAGCGAGACGTAGTACCGCAGAATAAATACGTGCAAGTGAGATAGAAAAAAGAAATTTACTTAAATTTCCATGTCCAGTGGATATTCGGCAAATCGTGTCGGCGACATTGAGCAGTATGGAATATATGGAGCAATTAACAAGCAATGTTGCGGTAAAAATTTCTGCATTTTATTGCAGTTATTACAGATTGCTTCATCAATTGCTCTACATTGATCCATATGTGTTGCCGAGCAATAATTGCTCAAAAAATTGAACGTGTAAGCGCACCTTTAGTAAAATCTACCGCTTGCCAGATCGAATTATACGTAAAATTTACTTTGAATCATTCTTTTTGCAGCGGTTCTGGTTCTGGTTGACCTTAAATAAGTGACACGAAAATGACAGAATTTAATTCAAATTTTGTCATTTTCAATAGAATAACATTTTTTTGCCTATTTTTTTAATGAAAAAAAAACAAAGTTTCACTATACTTTGACTTTGAAGTTGAGTCATTAATTTTCAGATAATGATTGTAGAAGGAAGATAAACCAAAATATGTGTGTAAAAAATTTTTTTACCTTGTTTTATAAAGTATCCTCCCGACAAGTATTTCAGTGCGGACCTGTATTTGATCGTGAGGTCTTGGAGCACCGGCATGCAGTCCCCTGTGAGGTCTTAAGTCACCTGATTCACGAGCCCGTTGTACTACATTAACAAAGGCACGAGGGGTTGGTTGCACTCGATTGGGAAACCGATCCGCATAAATATGTGCCATTTTTTATTTCGTTTGAGCCACGCAGCAAACACCACTATTCACTCGCGCGTTACCGACTGACACAGACTGAATAAAAACATCGTGATCAGCATTTCAAATTCTTTCGCTTTTTTGTTTCCGATGCGATGAACCGATAAGGCGGAGTATATCCGTTGTCGCCAAACACGAGCACATAATATTATTATTGAGACAGGGCAGTACTCAAACTTCTAAAGGGCTATAACTTTGTTACTTTAATTTTACCACAAAAATGTTAAAGGAAAAAACATTTCTTTTGATCAGATCTACTCACTGTTAAAATAAATGACTTAACTTCGAAGTCACCCTGTATAAATATATTTAATATCTACGTGATCTAAAATTACATGATCCCTAATAGGAGAACTATGATTTTCATTTTCTCTACTATTTATTAGGGGATATGGTGTTTTGAGACTGCATTCGCACTTGGGCGAGGGAAAACACCAACTGTCACTACTCAGATTAATTGTATGAGGTGAAAAAAAAATCAAGTCGTTCCACAATTCTGGGTTCATTTGCACAATCGAAAATCTATAATCCGCCAGCATACCACAGTTACTGACCTAAAAAAAAGTAGCATTGAAGTCACAAAGCACATAAAACTGAAGTAGCGTGAAGTAACGATTTATACACCCCATTTCACGAGTATCCATCATGGGACAATGACAGCTAGTCATCTAATAATATTTCAAAATACCCCATATCGGCACAGGACATATAATTAATTCCGAGAGATCGGTGAACTCCAGACAGACCCGTATTTTGTTCCGGCTCTTTGTACGCTACAGATTCATTTTGTACTTGCTAACAACTCTTATTTAAAAAAGTTTCTTTGCATACGAAATAAACGCTACAAGCACAATGGCTGCCAGTGACCATGACTGCATTTAAAGTCAGGTAGGAATAAAATAAGATAAACAGTTTTTGACTATATTAATTATATCTACTTTTATAACTTGAAACACCATATGATCTTAAAGGTCAATGAAACAGCCATACATCTAGTTCAGAATGTGTGGCAGTAAATGACCGAGTTGATAGAGGTTCGATTCCCTCAATTAGGTCTGAATATTACTCAAGGAATTCTAACAAGTAATAAATATATATAATATATATATAATAAATATAAACGATTGCAGGAAGTCATGAAATGTACACAACTGGGACAATGCAGTGTTCGTAAATACAGACATAGGCCAACTGTTTTTTATATCTGTACTTGTACATTTTATTGTCACATTTCCCATCCACTTCAAAATATAATCCTCATATGTGAGCAACAGCTCTGAATACGGTCCCGAAATTCATTATTGCCAACATTACAAATTAACACAAAGATGTCGCTTTTGTGATCAGCTGTTCACCTCAAAGCGTGATGGATACTCGTGAAATAAGGTTTAGGAGGGTCATTTTTTAAGTAAGAATCGTTTTGTAATCGAGTCAAAAAAAATTTATTTATTAATGAAAATTGTATCACAAACTAAAATTGAACATTTTTTTAATTTTTTTTTTCATAGTCACCATAAATATTCAAACAAGAGCCAAGTCGTGGCAGTTTTTAGTTAATGTAGCATCAAAAAACTTATCCTTTTGTTTTCATGTCGATAATCCCCATATTTCTTTACTAATTCTTTATTATAAACGTTTCCGTGACAACCGTGACAATATATTCTATTTAACTATCTTCCAGGTGACACTTTTTTTGTTTTTATTTTCATATTCATATACAGTGTGTTGCTACACTAGTGTGAAAGGTCCTGTAATATGTTGAGATTGCGTGAAACGATCATTCCAAATTTTAAGCTGGCACCACGCAAAACCAACAAACTCACAAAAGGGACGCCCGGCCCTGCAAAACGACAAGCGAGCGTGAGTTTTTTGTCGCTTTTTTTAATTCCAGATACGTTACCCTCGTCCATAGTCCCGAAATCACCAAAAGCCCTCAAAAATAACGCAAAAACCAACCCAGCACTGTTGTAGCACACTGGTTAATTGTTATGCAATCTTCGGCGAAAATGTTGCAACCTCAAAATTAGCACTAAGATATGTATGGGAAACCTGACATAGGATAAAATGGAAGTATCAATAGTACACAAAGCTGATAACAATTACAAAAGGAATTTAAAGGAATCAGCCTATATAAATTTAACAATAATTGTCTTTCTAGTTCTTCTGTGACCCAATTTGGTTGAATATACTCGAAGGAAAGACCTAATTGTTATTCTCCAATCAAACTAATTGATCATGAGTTTTTTATAGCGGCGGTGAGAGACTGGCCAAGAGTGTCTGAGATTGAACGGTATTTACGTTACAGGATGCGCAATGTGTTCTTACTTTAAAAACGCCCCTCGAACTTCACTGACATCTTTCTAATAAATTGTTAGAAAAATAAAATTTGGTAAAAGCTTTCTTCTTAGGCGCCGCTGCTTTTTCCAATACGTTTCAGAACTTATATTTCCTGATAAGTTTGACTTATTGGGTAAGACGTCAGTGAAACATGAACAATAAATAAGTTTATGTATAAAATACCTCTTCATTATTTCA